ATGTCAGTGCACATTTGAAAATAAATGAATAACTAACATGAAGAAAAGTTGTTAATTAGTTCAAGAATCAGGGGAGTTGACTATTAATCATACTTCAAATTCCCTTCATGTGTAATGATGACGTAGGCTATGGTAATTATCAGAGCACCCGTTTCACTCACACGCATGCTTTACTGCATCACAGTGTGATTGAACAAAGCCCATGTTAGATCAGTGTTCATGTGTCAAACAAGCATGACTCAGATTTTCCAGACATGAAACACCAAGGGAAACTTCAGTTAAATATTATAGTCTAAAACCGTCTGTGCTTGTTTGAGTTCGAGCATGCAAGTGTAATGCAACGTTTATCATCTGTGTGGCTATACTGTTCAGTATGTGTGACGGCTGCCATTGTAAAGAATGTTTGAACGTCCTATACCAGGGCATCCGCTTCCATGCTAGGCCCTAATATTTCTGTAAAGCACAGAGGATTGCCTGTTCAAACAAAGATTAGAGTTGTTAACTACGTAAGATGTAAAGGAGATTTAGCATTCCATCTCCTGGACGTCACCAAAGGCCAGTGTTTTCATCAGAAAAGGCAGAGGGGTCAGACAGGATTTCCCCTCGTGGTAGCAGTTGGCTACATAAACATAGACCTTAAAATAAAACTCCTGTTGTCGGGGACAAGGTCACAGGAAACCCAGACAAAGCGTCTTTGACGTAGCATCTCAAAATACATTGCATTTCCCATCAATCACTACAGTTTTCCTCAGGAATGGCATTTTGCTTTGTTCTCAGAACTTCTTATTGGCACCACAAACCGACACCTATATGCAGGAAGGCCTATGTGATGATGAATTAGGGGAATGACGTTTGGCTTGGATAAAGCGTTGAAAATTAGCAGGCAACATAACTCAAATGTGTTTCCCTTCTGACCACAGTTATCCAGAACAACTTGTTAATTCCTTAAATTGAATTTTACATTGTTTGCACAGTTGTTTTTTTTAATTAATTCTTCATTTTAAAAATGTGTACGTTTATTTCCCCTAGTACTGAATAAAAAGAGTAAGTAAGTAAATACATGATGACAGATGCTCTTCCTGTGGCACGCCCTGTCCTTCCCGTATAATACTGTTAATCACTCTGTGGCATGCTTCCTTTCTTTGTGTAACAGATTAGTGGGAAAAGACACTTATGATGGAAACAGAGGATAACAAAACAGCATGTTTATAACTTGCGCTGTACTTCAGAGCTACATTCAAGTCCAAACTGTGTTTGGATAGTGTGATCTTGCTCTTTTTCGTTCTGTTAGAAATACAGATATTGAAATAATGAAACATGATTTTGGTTTAACAGTGTAGGGTCGTGTAGATTAACTTCATTATTTTGCTGCCATCTAGTGGTGTATCTTTGATAACGAGACAAAGCCACTAAAGCCACAGTGATACTCAACCTGAGGCTCTGTGGGACTAGTTTTGGCTCTATTAGGTCCTACTTGGAAGAAAAAAATCCAAAGTAATTATTTAAAAAAGGGAAATATTGTCAGCAGAAGTTATTCTTTGCAAGTCATGTCACTGTGTTTCCCACACATATTTCAGGAAAGAAAGAGGTTTTTTGATTGTGGCTCTTGCAGAAATATCTTTTGGTCAATGTGGCTCTTAAGTCTAACAAGGCTGAGTACCACTGGGATAAAAGCAATATGAAATCCTGAAACAACAGAGTTTCTGTGATAATCACAAGTTTATGTTTATCTCATCTCATAAAATGTAAATAAAATAAAAGTATAATAAAATATACTGTAGATGTATAGATGAATTGTGTTGTTTTATTTGCATCATTCTGTCCTCTTAGGAACCAGAATAAGGGGAAACTTTGTCATAGAAAGCAACCTGACCTTAAATGGAGCTGTTTGTCTCTGTCCTGTGAGAGGAAGAAGCCACTTAGACAACTATTTCCTATTTACTATCTACTATATTTCCTTAATCAGAGAGGAAAAAAAAAACTGACAGGCCAAGTATTTGGAGGAGTGAAGTGCTACAATTTTCAGCTGTGCTTCTTGACTTGCAACTTCTTGAACTGTGATATGGGATGGCTATATGGCTTACCCAAAACCTTTTCATTCCCTTTGTTGACTAAGATCAAGACGATAAATGCTGCCTTATAAGCTCCAGAATAACAAATTAGCAAGCTCTATGAAAGCATTGGAAACCATTTTCTTGTCAAAAAAATATAGTAACTTTTTGGATATGTAACTTCAGCAAACAACTATAACTCCCAAACAGCGTTTAAAGTTTTGATAAAGTTGTGACATGGTAAATGGACTTGAGCTTGTATAGTGCTTTTCTAGTATTCTGACTACTCAAAGCGCTTTAACACCGCATGTCACACCTACACATTCACACACTGATGACAGTGGTTGCTATAGAGAGACCATCAGAAGTAACTAGTCCAATTCATACACATTCATATGTAGCTGACAAAGCAGCGGGAGCAATTCAGGGTTAAGCGTCTTGACACATCGTAGATCGAACCCTCAACCTTCAGGTTGAGATATGACGACTCTACCAACTGAGCTTCACCCGACATGAAACCCATTTGACTAAATTAATCACATGTGAATTGTGTTTTGCTATAATTTTGACAGTGTCCTGCTAGGACCTGTCAAAAACATGTGACATTGTAAATAATCAGGCCATTTGTCACATAAAGTGAATAAGGTGTGAACTCTTTATTAACTCTGTTACTGACGCCCTGCTCACCAGCTGGAACTTGAACCAGTCCCAGGACCAAGCACCTTGGATGGTCGTCTGCTTTGACATGTTACTCATCACAATCAACCTGTGAATTTCACTGTCACAGATCACTAACCATACAGAGTAATTTCACCTTTTCGACATCCTCTCAGCTTGGTGCTTCCTTGGCTTATTCAACACAACCCACATCTACACGGGTCCACTGGGTAGGTTTGTAGAGTAAGGGATGTGAACTAACCTGCTGCACTATTGATTCTCCTTCTGAGCGTCCTTCTGAGATTGATCTGTCAGTGACCTCAGTGAACTCCTCTGCTCTTCATTCCCCAGACTCCACAGAAGCTGGTTGCCTGGACCTCTCCAATGTGCTGACCTGCAACATGGAGCTCAAGGAGGTTTTCGACAAGGCTACGGCTACTTCGCTTCGTCTGCACCAACCCTAAGACTGTGCCATTCATCTCCTACCTTTTTCATTGCCTCCGTAGGGATGACTGTAAGGCAAGGCAAGTCAAGGCAAGTTTATTTATATAGCACATTTCAACAACAAGGCAATTCAGCATGTTTCACACAAGACATCAAAAGCATCATGACAGAGGAAAGAAAAGAAACATTAAAATAGAAAATGTAAAAATCACTGAAATGATTAAATCTGAACATATGTTCAAATAAAAATAATTCAAATGAAATTAATTGAAATAAATAAAGTAAAAATATAAAGAGTTAAAAGTTACAGTGCAGAGTTAAAATTTAAAATCTTATTCAAATTGTTTAATGAAAGGCAGCTGTAAACAGGTGTCTGATTGTGGGTGACTTTGCTGTTAAAGATGTACAAAGGATGTGAGGTAAAAACACAGAAGTACTGTGTTTTCCCAGAGACACTGTACTCACTGTCACCACAGGAGCAGGAGGCCATGGGGAAGTGCATCTATGACGCCCTGGTTGTTGGGATCATCCAACCACCCTCGTCTTTGCTGGGGGTCTGTTTTTTCTTCATGGACAAGGACATATCACATTGACCCTGCATAGACTAACAAAGTCCACTCAAAATGCAGCTGCAGTTACAGGTCTGGTAACATTTTATCATCCAAACTTGCCACATACCGACAATTTGTCACCACTCTTAGCATTTGATACTGAAGCACGAGGTGTCCACACATAACCTTACAACTTTTATTAACATTTTGGTTTCATGGCACATGAACCTCAGTCTCCTGAGCGAAAGTCCATCCATTCACCTCCTGAGTCACAAGAGGATGATGAGTAATTGTCAGTATGTGATGAGTTGGGAATGAGATGGACTGGTTTGTATATTTGGAGAGGCACAACCCTCTTTTAATGAATGTCTTGCATTGATGTATTAAGAATAAACGGTTAAAACTTTTTTTTTTTTGAGAAGAATACTTTTTACTCTCACTTACTTACCCAGAGGCTGGCCCCTTGCTACAAGGAAGCACTTCCATTTCTCCAAGATCATCAAACCGTTTGCTGTTTGCCTTCAGCTGCCCCTGGACTATGAGGATCCACATAAACTTAAAATATTAATGGATGAAGCCTGAGTGACGTCACCTGTCTGTTACTCCAGGGGCCTTTGGAAGCCCATTGCCTTGCTGGAAATGCTGTCTGACCCTAACTATCAGTCAAAGTAACAACAGGTTAAGAGCTCAAGCTAAAAAAAAAAACAGTTACCCCGCTGTTGCCTGTCAGTCGGGCCAGCTACGCACCTTATTGTGAATAATGCTTATCCTTATAAAATCAAAAAGTTATCAAAAATCTCACCCACATACAATGTGTGCCTATAGAGACAATTTTGTATTTTGAACCAGACCGTAAACATGTTTTTTGTAATGGGTGTGTATATGACTTCCAGTGGTTCTTCAACCAGACTCAAGTGGACACTTTTTTTTTAACCTGGAGGTTGCCACTTGGGATTCACCCCAACTTCCATGTAAAGCAAATTCCTTTCATCGTAATGAGGGCATGCTTTTAATGGTATTGGTTGAATGAAGAAATCAATGGGGCTAAAGACTTTGAACAATATAGACATTATCATTCCTACCTTCTAATACTAGATGTGATGATAGCTTGTAATAAAGTCATTTGTTACACTTACACCTTTATCGCTACCTTGTTACATTAAAGTTTGGCTTAATATTAAAGGTTTCATGTCCTTCGTCATGTTTTGTGGAAGACCACTAACTAATTCTCTGAGACTTGAAGCTGTGAAGCTGAAAAGTGAAGGCTAAAACTCCAGAAAAACATCACGACAGATCATTAACCTCAGTGTACATCTTTATTTTTCCATGAATGACAAGATCAAATGAAGAGCTTTCAAATCTTCCATAATGCTGGATTTAACCTGTTGACACACTTGTACTTTACAATTTTGCCATGTATGCTTTCTTATATTTTATTGTTCCATCTTTACATAACTGGCCCAAATAACAATTTACAATTAGTAAGCGAGATATAAACAACTCTGATGACATTAATTCACACGCCTCAAAACATCTAGAATAATCCAAAAACACATTTACAGGGAGCATTCTTCAGCCAACCAGTCACATCAAAAGAGGTCTATCGTGTTACCTTGAAATAAAGTATGAAAGTGTTGTGTCTATCATATTTAATATCCCATCATTTTCTCTATTCTCAGATTAAATTGGTGGTGTGTAGAATTGCAAATGTTGATTGAATCTCACCGATTTCAGCCATTTCTTCAGATCGTTGACAACACTCTCTATTGCCCTTTGCCAGTTATTCTCATCCATGTTCCTATCAGATGCTGGTCTTATTTGGCCTCTCACTTCATTCTCATTTTTAAGCAAGTTGCTTATACTTTCTGCTTCAGCACAGTTGCCATAGGCCCACACATTTTTTTGACATGTTGTCAAACCAAACAGATTTCCACATGATCTGCAAGGATCCATTTGATCTCCTTTTGTCAGGCTAAAGGCCTGACACCTGATCAGCTCTTGGATTTGGAAGGTTCCATCAAAATAGTTCTTTTTGACCTTGCCTGGATAGTAGGTCATCACTGCATCAGCTACATAAGGGTCCCAGGTGCCAAGACAGGAGGCAGCAACCATGATTTGCCCGGGAACACGGCCAGAGGTGGACATGGAGACTCCATAGTACCTGACTGAGTCTTGGATTGGTTTCTTTTGAGACACACATATGGCAGAGGAGATCAGGTCGATTGCTTCATCCTTCTTCAGATCAGAGATGACCTCTCGCAGGCTTTCTATTATGTCACTTTCCTTAGCTTCTTCAGTCAGGAGGCCTTTCTTTCCAGTCAGGTAGATAATCTGCATACAATTACAATTATTATCACTAGTGACTGAGTCCTACTTCATTGTTGTAAAAGATGATATCAATTGATCATGTACTTGAGTTTCTTATTTAAAACTATATTCTTACCATGTCAAGCACACAGGAAAATGGACTCCTCTTTGGTAATTGAGTGGAATAGAAGTTAAAAGGCTGAGGGTACCATTTTTGTAACTCTTTCAGCATCTCATTGTTACTGACAATAGCTTGTGGGAGATATGGGGGACTGTGGATTATTCCCAAGAAGAAGATGCTGTGAAGAACCTGTGATGAGAATAGTTTTTTGTTTGTGTTTGTGTATCTGAAAAGCAGGATGTGTACAAAGCAACCTGGCCACATATCATGACAACATTTGTTATACATAAGTAAATAACAGTCCTGCACATGGTGAGTTTTCCCTACCAACATTCTGTACCAGCATTGGATTCAACCAAGCATGTAAAGCCCTTGAACATCATTGTGTCTCTGCGCTTCATTTAAAATACATTTGTATTCACAAAGTTTGGGGAAAAAAAGGAATACAACTAGCCAAAACGAAATAAAACTAAACCATGGCCTAAGTGAATAATATGTTGATCATGGATAGAGTATCTTTTATTTCATTTTAAATAGCCTATTCAAAACAACTCAACTCTCAAACAGCTTGCCCACAGATGATTGTTCTGGATCAAAACACATCAACCTATTTAGGAACAGCACATTAACACAAGTCATACCTCATCCACTAACACCGAAGGACGATCTGGACTGAGATGAACCATTTTGTCAATAATCTTGAAAGCACTCCTGAGGAAAAGGTCCTGTTTCAGAAATTCTTCTGCCCTGAAATAACATGCAGTGTTTTTAGGACAGAAAAAGTCAAATGAAAAAATATAAAACTTGCTGACAGAAAACCAGTTGTCTCACCTCTTGTCTGCAGACTTGTGATGTGTTGAGGTATAAAACATAACACATTACAACATTGAGATATTCCAAAGACAACAGAAAATACAAAAGCATTGTAGAATTTCACAAAGATGATATATGCAACTAAAGCTAATAAAAGCTCCTACTCACCATTGTAAGATACGATGAAATTACATGGAAAGAAGAAAAAGAAAACCTAAAACCCAAAACAGCAATCCTCCATCAGAATGGAAAAAACAGCTTTCTGTTTGTATACTCTTCTTTCTCTCAACTAATATCGGAGTCAGTCTCGGTATAAATGAAGCTGTGCTCAACGAGAGTTAGCAGGAAAAAAGGGTCCAAGCATTACTCTCCAATGTTTTTTTTTCTCTTGAGTATGTGGCAGGAAGTGTCTACTTGAGTGTAGAGATAATGTGGACGACTGTCCATAAAAGATAGCAAAAAAGTACAAAAAGAACTAAGCACCGTACATTCGCTGTCAAATATAAACTTTTTGACTATTAGTTTTTGGTTTTTAATTCAAATATATTTTATTGAGCAATTAAATTGGAAATACGTTCAGCAATATATTTATGGTTATTACAATTGTGCATGTAACCGTGATCTTAATTAAAGCTCAGATATTTTTGATAGGCACAGAGGTCATTTTTAAATAAGGTAATAAACAAATAAAATGCAATAACATCAAATGTAAAGAACAGAGAAACAAACAGAATACAAATAATACTAAAATAAAAACCCACCCCACTCATCCCTTCATCCCCACGACCTTTAAGACCTTCACTCGTCAACCATCTCCGTTTCTGTACAGTGTGTGCTAGGATGATGAATGTTAATTATAATTATAATTTATACTTTATTGATCCCGCGAGGGGAAATTCGTTTTTTTACACTCTGTCTAGTAAAAATGCAACACAAACATAGGCCGAAATACACACACATGCACAAACAGGATCCAGGATTGTACTTGGTCAGCAGGATGATACATGGGGTTTCCAGGTTTTATTGAATTGTTGAAGTCTGTCCTTCAGAACATATCTTATCCTTTCTAAATGAAGAGTGTAAGTTAGATTTTTCAAACCACATTTTAGAGGTATAGGAACAGTTGCGCCTTTCCACAAAATACAGTAAGAATTTATGTTTTTGCCGTTATAAGACAATGAGAGATAACACGCTGCTGCTTCGCATTTAGTTCTCTAAAGGTCAGAGAAGTTCCAAGAATGATGATGGTTTAATTGAAGTATTCATGACCTCAGACATTATTTTACAGAGATCAATCCAGAAAGATTTCATCCTTGGCCATAAAGCAAAACTATGATGAAGAGTTGCCACAGAAGACTGGCATCTATCACATTTAGGCAATACCTCTGGATGTTGTGTAGTTTTCTTTAGTTTTTTTTTATACATGGGTATAATGCAGAGACTCCATGAATCAGCATACGATGAAAACATGTTAAGGCTGGCTAACAGCATCGCCTCTGATCTTAACCACGCTTTGAACACAAAGTATGAACTACTACCCAATGCACGACCTCTGAATATTTGTTGGGTGCTTGAATGTTGTGGCAAACGTTTGTATCTTTGTATCTTGTCTTTCATTTTTATGTTGCAAATGGAGCCGCTGTGATGCACAACAAATTTCAGACCATGTCTGACAATAAAGTTCTATCAAATCAGATCAAATCAAACAAGGGAAGAAACTTGTTTGAAACATGTTTATTGATTATAACTTAATGCAAAGTGTTGTTGTGTTTTGTAAACTGACTTCTGGATGAGCAACTAAAAACATGGCTGCCAAATTGTTTTTCATATTTTCTTCAAGGTTGATTTCAGTTTGTTGCTCCAAATATCTGCAGTGTCCAGACACAGATTTACGATCAGCTTTGTGTTATTCAAAGAAGTCCCTGATTTCAGAAAAACAAACTTCCTCACATTTTTCTTTTTTTGTCAGTTTTTACATCATCCCTAAAACAAGGATAGAAGCACTTATTTGATGACTGGAAATGAAAAATAAAAACCAACATGATAATTATAGAAAAAAAGATTGTTTAATAGTAAAAAAAACAATAAAAAAATATATAATTTGAATCAACCGCACAAGATGTAACATGTAGCCTGGTTGAAAAAACAATGGAAATAGGAAATATTTTAGAATATAATACATAAAGTGATTAAAAACTTTGTGCTGCAGTGCATTAATGTTAAGTGCATTTGTGTAAAGTGCAAAGGGTTGCATTATTATCTTGATATATCTATAGTATATCTTATATATGATAAAAATCTTTTAAAAAAATAATAAATAAATAAAAAGCTCAGGCGTCCAGGGTGAGCTTATAGAAATGTCTCCTCTTTGTCGGAGAACAAAGAGGAGACATCGGAGGTGTCAAGGCATATGATGCTTCTCCGTCCAGAAGGCCCAGAGGGGTCTGTTCCAGGTCCTTCAGGACAGGCTCTGCTTGTGGTAAGAGGAAGAATATAGATTGACAGGGTTAGATAAAAGGACTCAATGACTGATCATGTTACTTAATTGTTCATAAATTCCTTCACAGTTTCTTTTGAAAGCATGACCTTCGCTTTTACCACTACAGCTCGACAAAGATACCGACCTCGTTTGAGTTTTTCCAGGAATCCCTTCTTATTTGCTGTCACCAGCTTGTAATGTGCTTCGTCCAAACTCTTCCCTAAAGCACTCTGCTTCACTTTTTCCCAGTCCTCATAGGTCTACACAGAAAAAACAATATAAATAAAACGCAGTTAGAGCCATCAGTTGATCGGAAACCAGAGCCCTGCTTGCTTGTTGAAGCAACTAAACTGTAATGTCTCACCATTTTGCTGAAGGTCTCCCCTTTGTAATAGCACAGGGATGATGGATACTGTAATCCCTCAGTACAGAGCTGCTCCAGACTGGAAGCCACCTCATGCAGCTCCTCTTCATCGTAAGCATACAGCTTTCCATCTTCACAGATCATCAGAACAAGCAGCTCACAGGGGCATGAGGTTCCCTTCACTAAACCTACAACCTGCATCCTAACCTCATCAGGAAGATAGAACTTTCCCCAACCTTCCACGACTTCTTTTCTGTTAAAATAACTTGTGCCTTGGAGGCCACATATCATCCATTTGACATCAGCTGGATTACAAAGGGCCAGAGTTCTGTCTCCAAATGTGTCCACAAGATATTTCCCCTGTTTTATATAGTCTTTACCTGGAACACATGGAAGACAAAAGGAGTTACAGAATGTGGACAAAAGCATTATCTACATAAGTTGACATTGTGTGACCAAAGGTTGTGTGTAGTATAGTCCACCTCTTGCTTTGCGTCTTTGCAGGAAATCAAGGACATCACGCGCCCTGCAAGGTAGAAAACAGAAATCCATAGCTCAAAGAGGAGCTGATACTTACAGCAGTATAAACAGAGTCATTATTAGAAGAATATGCTTCAGGTCACAACAATTACCGGTTTACTTTTAAACAGCTTTTAAATAATTAAAGTATTCAATAGGACTCAACACCTTACTTCTCAGCATGTCATTGCTCGTTTAAGAGCACCTATAAACAAAGTAAGAAAATTGCTTCTTACGAGATGTCCACTGGAAAATCTGCCATCTGCCTTCTGTCTCCTAGAAAAAAAAAAGTTTATATTATCAAAAAAAAAGGTGGAAAATATTTAAGGTTTGACCTGTTGGCCTATGGTTTAAAATACACACTGTTTTCCTTTCTTTCCCAATGTCCACTATGGCAACACTATGTTATCTGGCATTAGCATTGTCAAAAATGTTTGTCAAAAAGTCTAAAGTTCATGAGACAATTTGAGGTTTTATGTATTACTTATAGCAGGAGTGACTTGCTTCTCTTTTGTTTGGACTTTGTGCAGCTATGACAAAGACATGGATACAAAAGGTGTTCAATTTTGCAGATAGGTGAGTTGTGAGAAGATGACAGATTCTAAATTAAGCTTCAACATATGACCTTTATTTCAAATTCTAGAATAGCACAATAATTGATGATTTTATAATCTAAGCCCAGAAATGTTAACTACTGCATCTAGGTTTACACATAATTTAGGATTGCTTGGTTAGCCTATTTCTACTACTAATCCATTAATCATTTCTCTACACAGTTTTGTCAAGTTATCATTATCAAACATAACACGTCATTGTTTTATAAATGATCACATTGTTATTAGAAATCATTTTAATCGGATCAATAGGCTAGTATCTGTAACTTATTATTCTTCTTTTCTCTAGTCCCTCAATTAAACAACTTTTATAAGCAAGGGGATGAGCCGGCCGGCCCGTCTATGTAAACACTGTAGATACGGCTCAGACAACATCACAGACAGGGGGACTCGGGTGTCACACTCACTGTAGACAGTCATGACTCACAGAGATATTTACAAAGGACATACTGGATTTCTGCTATATTTACAGTATGTGTAAAATGTCACAAATTCAGCCTTTGAGACCAAATTTTAATTTAGGAACATCTCTGTAAAGAAGTGCTGCCGGTTTGTGTCAAAAGTACAGTTGAGCTCAATACATGACAGTAATGTGAAGGCTGAAACTGATTTGATGCGTCACATTAACGCTCACTGGACTTATATATTTTCTGTTTACATTGCACTCTGTTTTAGACTGCAAATCATGCACATATCTGCACAACTGCACAGCTCCTCAACATCAAAGTCAGAATAAAGACTCATTATAGTGATTTATAAGGGACTTTGACAGTGGATTTCTCAAAAAGTACAGAGTAAAAATACTCCATAGTACCGGTGCATGTAGTCTAAGAAGTATTAAGTATTAGTAGAGGAACTTGGGCCCCTAAAAGTTGAGAGACCCCTACCTGAGGTATAACAAAGCACAACCATATTTTTTCATAACTTGAACAAGTCTAGTTTATGAAACGGATTGTTGTATAAAAATATTTTACTGCAAAATAAAAAAAATTGGGTTGTTTTATGCATCTTACCAAAAAACAAAAATAAATCAAATTAGGGCTTCTCCAAAAGGGACAGCTCTAGCCTTATCACATATATCTCTGGGAATCAGAATCAGAATTTCACCAAATTTGGAAAGGATGTTCACAGATAGTTATTAGTTACAATTTTATCAATACCATTTTCAATTTTTGAATTTCTCACACTTAAACACACATGTAGTTTAGGCGGAAATTGAAAATTGAAACAAAAATTTAAAAGGTATGTATATCAAAGTCTGTCATTTTTTAAGTGAGGACACCAAACATTAAAATATGTCATTTTTATCTTCTTTAGACTGTTATCTCAACATAAAAGTAAGTTATTTGACTTTTCACTTGACCCTATGCTGTCACCAGCCCCTAACAGGAAACTAGTGCAGCCAGGATTTCAGGGCGACCTGGTACAATGTGGCCCTATGGATGTGTATGTGGGAGGAGGTGGCCACAAACAATAGATTAAGACTCAACAACAAGACACAATATAATTGTATTCTGTAATATATATATATAATTAAACATTTTATAGTTATTCCTAATACATTTTGTCTCACATTTTCTATCTTACATATGATTTATATGTAAGTGACGGTGGATTTCTGAAAAAGTACTCAGTAGAAGTACTTCATAGTACATCTGCATGTAGGCTAAGAAGTATTAAGTCCAACCATATCAGAATCACTGTGTACTTATGGAAGAATTGGTTTTTTTACAAGACATCAAAGTCATAAAAAAAGACTCATTTTAGTGCTTTATTATAGACTTTGACAGTGCAACTCAAAAAGTATACAGTAAAAGTACTCCATAGTACCGGTGCATGTAGTCTAAACAGTACTTAGTCCAACCATGTCAGAATCATTGTGTACTTATGGAAGAACATATTTTTTTATATTTTTTTCCCAGGAAAACTGTTTTTTTTTGTTTTTTTTATTGTGAACACCTTGTTTTGAAAAACAGAAGTTACCGCAAACTCGCAGTATTATTCTCAAATTAATTTCACCGACCTCCGGAGCTATTCCCTGAACAGTATTTTGTTTACTCCCGTTCCATACACGTATATCTCATAGCCAGTTCTATGGTAAGACTTCTGCATTTATCACTTTTGCCTGGAAAAGGAGATTAATAACGGGGCAAAATCGCTCTCTCTGGCTGTATCCGAATTACCAAGTACCTACAGTAGACAGTACCTACTATCCGTGCTGTATACTGTTAGTACCTACTATTCAGTATGCACACACAGTAGGCAGATATTTGTTCCTACTTCATGTGATACATTCAGTATGGAAGTGGCGTCATTAACGTTTCCACCCGTTTTTTGTTTTGTTTTCTTGCTTAGCTTTCTTCAAGAAGAGTAATGCGCATATACAGTCAGGTAAACAAAAAACAATATCACAAAGTAAATCATTATGGTGAAGACCAGTTCAAATACAGATGGTCTAAAAACAATGCTTTACATGCATTAATAAAAGAACTACCCCCATAGTCACCGTTAATGTTTTCGTAGTTCCAGGTTATGGTTTACTTCAAGGTTTAATCCAAAAGGCGACTGGACTTGGTTGAAGTTCTTGACGATGTTTCGCGTCCCAACAGAGAGGCTTCTCTAGTGAAGGAGGACGACTTGTATAACAAGTTGTGTTTTCATCCTGATTATTTACATGTAGTCTAGTTACCACATCTGATGAGTAAAGACTCAAAATTTCTCCGGAAAAGAACTGGGGTATTCCCACTCCTTCACCACTCCCCCAGCAGCTGCTTTAAGTGCTCATAAAAGTATCTGTAAATATGAATCCAATACTAAAAATGATAGAAAAGGGGACTAATAACCTTGAATAAAAAGTAGACATAGCCTATTTTGTTTATTCACTTATTTATTTATTTATTTTTACTTTTTTTTTAACAACTTTTTTTTTTCTCATTCTCAATTATTATTTGCAGAACGTGAGCGAATCTGAGGAGACCCATGATCAGCCATAGTCTCTCACCTTTTCAACACGCATTGGGTTAGGTCTGAAGTAAGCTATTTGGGGGGAAATGGGTGAAATGTTAAAGAATCTGTTTTGTTTTTTTTGAGGATCTTTGGGCCCAATGAGAACCCGGGACACATTTTCTTACTTGTCAGTGTCATGTAGCCTTTTGATGTGGAGTATTTATGATTTGGTTCATAAATAATGACGGAGAGCCCGACGTGCTTTCAACTACAGCTGTCTTTACTGAACGCTTCATAACATGTTACCCTTAACAGATCCCTCTAGTGGTTAAACCACCACACATCACAATCTAGCTGACTCACATTAAAAGAAGCTCTACTCAGAAGGATTAATACAACGGCAATACTCCCTTTAATATTTATATAAACAAATGTATCATCTAAATATTATTAGATGGCATTTTAAGGCAAATGGTTTTGGGGATTTTGGGGGATAAGAAACACTCTCTATAAGTCATACTACTGTGGTTTCCTCAGTTGTTGATATGTTTGATGATGAAGAAATTCGCTGTTGAAACCTGACTTGCTTTTAAACAAAATGATTTATTAACAAGTTGCAGGATCACTGAACACGTCTGCCCAGGAGAGTGATGAAGCCAAATAATGATCTCTCGCGAACATACAGAAACTCTGGTACTTATGGACACACCTCACAGGAGAACAACATATGGACATCTGTTTTTCAGGACCATCCCTCTCTATACAACTGTGGGGGTTTAGATAGCTTAGATATATGCATGTCATAAACTCAAAGGACAACACAGGTCACAGATCCAATCTCTTGTCCAGATGTAGTCCCCATATCCTTAAGGAGTCAAAATATGTCCCAGGAATTTCAGACACTTCAGACACTTCACTACAACAGCAAAGTCACTATCTCTCCACAAATTTAAATTTTATTATGAGGTTGCTAAATTACCTGATAAGAAATCATTTCCACCCACTGGCCCTATATATAGGTACTGATGTTACAATTGGATAATTTAACCAGTTGGCCCAACTCACATGCCCTCATCTCCTTAAAATAGCCCCCTTGTTTAACTCCTCAATTTGCAAGGCAATTTACTTAAGGAATCAATCATTTAAAACTTAAACGGATTTGTAAATATTTAAAAAAATATATATGTATGATTGATTTATTTGGCTAAACAAATAATCTGTTGGACTATACAGTCAGAGCTGCTTCCATACTTACATTGCACTCTATATCCTTCTTAAAATTAGCTAAGCTACTCTCACATTCAGCTGAATATTTCTTAAATCTATAGGGAACTGAGTTGTTGCTCAGATTAAACTGAACATTGATTATTTGCACTGATGGTGAATTGAGACAAGGTGAACAGTTCAGGGCAGCTGGGTTTTCTGCTTCTTTACGATCAATCTCTGTTGACTTTTTTCTTGTGTTACCCGTCTTTAACTAAATACACAGCACCTTTCAAGAACAGATGTCACAAAGTGTTTCATAGTAAAAGATTAAAAGAAAAACACAAGAGATTGCACCAGACATTACAATTCAATTACATAAAAGCAGCCAGATTAAACAAAGGCAAGTCTAAAAATGTGTCTTTAACTGCTTTTTAAAGATGTTCACAGTGTCCAGACTTGTCAGCTGTTGGAGAAGTGTCCAGACAGTGTCCAGACTTGTCAGCTCCAGTGGGAGAACGGTCCAAAGCTTAGTGGCTACAACCTTAAAAGCTCAGTTGTTTGAGAGGTAATAAGGTGCAGCTAATTCTTTAAAGGTTTTGACTTGAAACAGGATGGTGTATCGGTCAGGATACAGAGTAAATGATGAGGAGATAATGATAAATAATGTATTGGCATCTTTCATTCATGTTTTGTGAAAAAATAAAATTAGGAGAAAAAGCTGAACTGTAATAGCTTAGGCTTGTTTTAAACACGAGTAGCCTGACAACAGGATTAGAAACATAGACTAGCATTTTGCATTTCAAATTCAACTCATTTCCCTGTGGTGCTCCTCAAATTCAAAAAATTGTTGGAGAAGGTCACCACCATTTCTTTGGTCTTGCTCACGTTCAGTTCAAGGCAGGAGCTGTCACACCACTCCACAAACTCCTGAAGAACTGGTCCATGGTGCTGAGAGGGGCCTGACAGCAGAGACAGGAGAACTGTGTTGTCCGCGTACTTCACCAGGTGACAGTTTGGCTGTGTGGTTCTGCAGTCATCGGTGTAGAGGATGAAGAGCAGAGGTGAGAGCACGCAGCCCTGAGGGGGAGCCAGTTGAGGTGTGTTGGAGGCTGGAGAGGGTGTTGTTGACCAGAACTCTCTGTGATCTGTTGGTCAGAAAGTCCAATATCCACCGGATAAGCTGGTCGTTCAGATGGAAGCAAGTTGAAAGTTTGTCAGCCAGGATGTGAGGCTGCAGGGTGTTGAATGCAGAGGAGAAGTGCTCCAGGTGTTTTTGAACAGTGTCTATTATGAATGTTTTTGCATCATCGACACCTCTGCCTGCACGATAAGCAAATTGTAGCGGGTCCATCTGGGAGTCGGTTTCTCTGATGATGTGTTGTTTTATGATCCTCTCCATGGCCTTCATCACCAGAGACGTGAGGGCCGCAGGCCTGAGGTCATTCAGTGACTTGGTGGGGCTTTTCTTGGGGATGGGGATAACTGTGGAGTGTTTCCACAGCTGGGGGACTGTGCTGCTGTCCATAGAGCTCTGGAACAGGGTCTGAAACACGCCCCCTACACTCGTAAGAAATTGCTGTAAATTTACAAGGAAATTTCAACAGTATGATCCTGTTATGTTTAAATACAGGACATTACTGTATTATAACGGTTTATAACAATATTTTACTGTATTATCGCTTGAAGGAAACAAAACAGTAACTTACCGTAGTTTTTGCAATGCATTTTGGGAAAAAGAAGTTGAGACCACATGGCTGAAAGGACAGTGGAGTTGGCTTTGCCCGATTGTCATCCATTTCCATCCTGACAATTAAGGGGTGAGTGCCTTACTGCTTTGCTAGTTAGAATAGGCAAAAACCATCACTTACTATGTGTGAAGTCATTTGTGGGATTAACGTTAGCTAGATTCGGAAATTACACAGAAACACTGCAGGCAGACACACACGCAGTGAGTGAATTCTTTGCCAGCTAACATTAGCTTGAAATACAGATCTTAACAGTTGCTAAATGGGACAAAAAACAAAACATTTTCTTGTAATGTGGTTAACTAAGTGGGCTATCATGAACTTGACTTGCTTGCCTGGTTGTACTAGAACGGTAAGGTTAGCTAACATCAACAAGCTAACATCTTTGTTTGTTGACTATTGATTAAATATTGAATTAGAAATGATGATAAGCTGGGCCTACTAGGCAATATGGCCATAGTATAAATAGTATAATATACAGTATTTGAAAATGTATAAAAGGAAACTTTAGTGAGACTGTCAGAATGGACCTGGAGCTGTTTTTTTTTACTGTTTTAACCATAGGTCAGTATGTATCACGGACATGAAAGGGAGAGGGAGGGCGGGCTTTGAGCGACTCTTACGGTCTAGACTCCAGAGAGAGAGACGGAGAGAGGAGAGCGCAACTGAAGCTGAGAAATGAACGACTCTTTTCACCCAGATGATTCGTTCGTTTTGAACGAATCGTTCATGATGACACATCACTACTCCGTGCAGGAAAGCAACAGCGCTGATGAAAACTTCATTGGTAAGTTGTTTCATCATTATTTGTTATTACGCTTAGATGCTGGTCTTTTGTTTGTGGGTGTGTTGTAGACCGCCGTGTCTGCTTGTATGAACGGCAGACCATTGCTGTCACACTGTTTACAAAGTTTGTTGTCGTGCGTGGGTTGATAATGTGGGTTTTATTGTATTGTCTGTTTGGCTGGATGAGCGTCCAACTTCACTGAATGTCAAACTGTAGTTGCCTTCTGTCTTTGGTTTCCCGTCCGGCTAATTAAGTCTATTAATATGCGCACAGACATATCAACACTTGTTCTGCTTAAACATCAGCAGTCACTCACTGATAAGTCCCTGTCACTGTAATAGCACCCTTTGTAATCTGCAGCGGCATTTCTCTTCGTCCCACCCCGTCTTGTATCTCCATACAGCCGATACTAAACCATAAATGCTATACTATATTACTATATAGGCTACAGCATATGCTATATAGACTATAGACAGTTTATGGGCCCACTATTGGTCCCCGCCCCCTCTGCAATGAGCCATAGGCTCCGCGCCTGGGTGGATGTAAACCAGGTTATTTTAGGCTTGTTTTAAACAGGATTAGAAACATAGACTGTAAATAATTGGTAACAAATCCTATCTCTCAATAAAAACAACATTTTGACAAGTAGAAATTTCTTATCCTGTTGTTTAACTCATTTCCCCGTGGTGCATTTTGCATTTCAAATTCATTCAAATTCAAATTCAAAAAGGCACACAGAGAGTAAATTAAAACGAAAGTAAACGAAACATTTTAACCTAAATATAAAGTGTCAATTTAAATACAACTTAAAGCTTAAACTTAACTTAAAAATACAAAAGATAAAAAGAGTAGATATAAGTGGACAGTGATCGGACTAACAGATGTAAACAAATGTAAACAGAACTATGTGCAGTAAACGAGAAATAAATATATATATATATATATATATATATATATGTATATATATATATATACAGAGTGCAAGTAGGCAAATACTAAATGATAAGTTATTAAGGTGCATGGTGAAAAAGCTG